TAAAATTATTGTATTGACAATTAATAATTAAAATTATACTTTGTTATAAAAAAAAAGGACATAATTCTAATATTTCACTATTTTACAATAAAAATATATGAATTAAAAAAAAATATCATATTAGTTTTTGAAAGAGAAATAATTAAAGAAATTTTAAAAACTTAATGAGTAAGACAAAATTATTGTAACATGTAAAACCGCTAAAATCACGGTTGAACCAGCAAATCATTTAAACTAAAAATGATTTAGGTTAATCAGTTAGGTCAAAAGACCAACTAACTTACACAAAAATTAATTTAATTAAAATTTTTAAATTTTATTTTATTAAAATTTAAACTCTCACTAACTATGGAAAGTAATCTATTAATTTAAATTTAAAATCGACACAATATAAATTTAAAATTATAACAATTTATCTCATAATTTATACTTTTTAAATACAAATTTCAAATTATCATAATTATTTCATAATTTTTGTATTAAGGAGTAGTAAGAGTGACTTTGAGATCATCGATATATCTATATGTTTTATAAAAGAATACTTTTAAAGAAAGATATTATGAGAGTTTCAAAATCTCATACAAAAATATTTTTAAAATCAAAACCTCTGTGTGAGATTATAAAATAAAATTTAAATCGAAGCTAGCCAATTGAGATTTTCTTAATTGTTTAAAATTAAGAAAATAAAAAAAAAATAGTATGAGATATTGATCATAAAGCTTTTCACTAAAAATCTCATTTTGTTTATATAAATAGGAGCATAAGATTCATTTTATATAAATGAAACAATTCACTTTTTTTCTTCTTTTCTCGATATGGAATTATAAAATAAAAGTTAAACAAAAGTTAGCTAATGGGGATTTTCCTAATTGTTTAAAAGTTAACAATTATTTGGGCGAAAAGTTTATATTGAATCAAGCAATCTTAACCATTTAATTTTTAATTAAGTCAATCTTTAATTTATTTTGAATCAAACAAATTTAACCAATATATTTTGATAAAATCGCTAAAATCACAGTTAAATAGTAAATCAATCAAACGAAAACGGTTCACCCTATCGGCTAGATCAAATAACCAACCAACTTATACAAAAATTAATTAATTAAAACTTTTAAATTTTATTTTAATTTAAAAATTTAAACTATCTTGAACTGAAACATACACAACACTACAATATTAAATGGGAGCATAAAGTTTATATAGTGAAACGATTCATTTTTTTTTCTCTTTTTCCTGATATGGAATTATAAAATAAAAGTTAACAGTTGTTTGGGCGGGAAATTCATTTCTAATCAAACAATCTCGGTTGTTCAATTTTTAACAAGGTCAATCTTAATTTATTTCAAATCAAACAAATCTAAGCAATATAATTTGATAAAAATAGCTAAAACCGTGGTTAAACTAGTGAATCAGTCAAATTGAAAAACAATTCAGCCTAATTGGCTAAGTTAAAAGACCAACCAATTTACAACAAAATTAATTAATTAAAATTTAAATCATCTTGAACTAAAATATGTACAATACTATAATATTAAATGAGAGTATAAGTTTCACTTTATATAAGTGAAAAAATTCACTTTCTTTCTTTTTTTAATGTGGGATTGTAATTATTTTTAAGTTAAATATTATGAGAGTTTCAAAATCTCATATAATTTTTTTTTAATTTTTAAATCAAACGTTGATTTGGGATTATAAAATAAAAGTTAAACAGAAACTAACCAATGGAGATTTTCTTGATTGTTTAAAATTAAGAAAATTAAAAAAAAATGGTATTGATTATAGGGCTTCTTATTAAAAATCTTATTTTACTTATATATATGGGAGTATAAGATTCATTTTATATAAGTGAAACAATTAACTTTTCCTTCTTTTCCTGATGTGAGATTGTAAAATAAAAATTAAATGGAAGTTAACCAATGGAGATCTTCTAATTGTTTAAAATTAAGAAAATTCAATAATTTATAAAAATTGGAGCATAAGATTCACTTTATGTAAATAAAACAATTCACTTTTTTTTTTCTTTTTTTTTTTCCGATTTGAGATTGTAAAATGAAAAATAAGTAGAAGTTAGTCAATGAGAATTTTCTTAATTATTTAAAATTAAGAAAATTCAATAATTTTAAAATGATGGCATGGAGTTTGTAGAAGGCTTCTCTCTCAAAACGCTCTTTATAAGATTCCCTTTATATAAGTGAAGCAACTCATTTTTTTCTTTCTTTTTCCGATGTGAAATTGTAACACTTTATATAAGTAAAACAATTCATTTTTTTTTTCTCGATATGGGATTGTAATTATTTTAAAGTTGAATATTACGAGAGTTTCAAAATTTCATACAAAATTATTTTTAAAATCAAAACGTGTATGTGAGATTGTAAAATAAAAATTAAATTGAAGCTAACCAATGGAGATTTTTTTAATTGTTTAAAATTCAAAAAAAAAAAAAAGTATGAGATATTGATAATAGAGTTTCTCACTAAGAATCTCATTTTGCTTATATAAATGGGAGCATAAGATTCACTTTTATGTAAGTGAAATAATTCACTTTTTCTTTTTTAATTTTTTCCGATGTGGATTGTAAAAGAAAAAGTAAATGGAAGCTAGCCAACATGAATTTTCTTAATTGTTTAAAATTAATAAAATTTAATAATTTTAAAATAAGGGTTTGGAGTTCCTAGAAGGTTTTTCCTTAAAAACTCATTTTTTCTTATATAATATATAGGTAGATAGTGAAAGAAACTTTACTTTTTCTTCTTTTCCCCATCTGAGATTATAAAATAAATTATAAACTAATTAGAGTTTTATTTTTATATGGTTAAATGGAAGTCAGCTAATGATTTTTTTTTTAATTGTTTAAACTTAATAAAATTAGTATGAGAAATTGCGATTAAATCGGCGAATCGGTTAAACCCAAAATGGTTCAGCCTAATCGGTTAGGTCAAATGAGGATTTGGGGTGGCTGTTGTGCGAGGGCGCACAACAACCACTGTTGATGGCCCATTTCGATAATCTAAACCGTTCACATTTTAGAATACATCAAGTAAAATATACCTACAAAAAATAAAGTTAATCAGATATCGTTTACTCTTTTATCCACTCACATTTGTATTCATTTTAATACTTTAAATCACAATTGTTATTTATTGTTCTAGATACAAATGTGAGTGGATGGATAGGTAAACAATATTCGATTAACTTTATTTTTTGCAAGTATGTTCTACTTGATATATTCAAAAATGTAAATTGTTCAGATTATCGAAATGGACCCCGAAATTGGCCCATTTGGATTCACAACATGCACAGCAGCCACCACAAATCCGTCAAATGACCAATCAATTTACATAAAAATTAATTATTTAAAACTTTTAAATGTTAGTTTAATTTTAAAACTTAAACTATCTTGAATTGAAGTATACACAGTACTACACTATTATGATTCACTTTATATAAGTGAAACAACGTTGATGCGGGATTATAAAATAAAAATTAACAATTATTTGGTCGAAAAATTTATTTTTAATCAAGCAATCTCAGTTTTTCAATCTTTAATCAGATCAATTTTAATTTATTTCGAATCAAACAAAACTAATCAATATATTTTGATAAAATCGCTAAAATCATGGTTAAACCAACAAATCAATCAAATTAAAAATGATTTAGCCTAATCGGCTAGGTCATAATTAATTGATTAAAATTTTTAAAATTTAAACTATATTAAATTAAAACATTCATAACACTACATTATTAAATGAGATGTGAGTATAAGATTCACTTTATATGAATAAAATAATTCTTTTTTTTTTCCCTTTTTTTCTCGATGTGGGATTATCAAATAAAAACCAACCAATAGAAATTTTCTTAATTGTTTAAAATCAAGAAAATTAGTAAGAGATATTGAAACTCTTACAATACTCCTCACTAAATGAGATGAGAGCATAAGATTTCCTTTATATGAGTAAAACAACTCATTTTTTTCTTTTCTTTTCCCAATGTGAGATTATCAAATAAAAACTAAGCAATGGAGATTTTCTTAATTGTTTAAAATTAAAAAAATCAAGAAAATTAGTATGAGATATTAAAACTCTCACAAAATTTCTCACTAAAAACACTATTTTTCTTATATAATATATAAATAAATAGATAGATAGATGTTAGGTACCTAAATGTTTTATTAAATATTCTATTAAAAATTAGTTTTCATTTTTTGTTTTTTAAGTATTTTATATCTGTAAAATATTGATCATAAAGCTTTTCACTAAAAATCTCATTTTGTTTATATAAATAGGAGCATAAGATTCATTTTATGTAAATGAAACAATTCACTTTTTTCTTCTTTTCTCGATATGGAATTAAAAAATAAAAGTTAAACAAAAGTTAGCTAATGGAGATTTTTCTAATTGTTTAAAAGTTAACAATTATATTTGTTTAAAAGTTAAACCCCTTGGATTCCTATTGTACCAAAAAAAAAAAAGAGAATGTTTTGTTCATACTTATCACTGAAATTGACTATATTTATTACATAATATGATTATATTTGTGAATTTTTTTTATAAAATATATAACCATTTCTCAATATAGTTTTAACTTCTGTCTAACAAATTAAAACGAAGCTTTCAAAAAGAGTGTGGGCCCACATTGAACATACCTATATAGGCATATAAATAAGAATAATATAAAATTTAAATTATTATTGTTCTTATAGCCTAAAAACATTAGACTTTGGGATTAATAGCCCCAAAAATTTCCAAAATTTTCTTGTCTCCAATTTTTAATTGTTATTGACTTTTAAATTTTTTTTTTCTTCCATGAAGGAAACCAGCGGACCAAACAGTTGGAGGGTTTGTTGTAGACGCGCGAGGACTGGACTGGGGGTTGAGAAACCATTTTTTGAAAATTTATGAGATGACTGTTTCAGGATTCAACACCCGTGTTTTACCGTCTTGAGCACGTCTCGTTCTAACCGCAACTCCTATATATATACTGCCTCATTTTCTTTCTCTTCTCTTCCTCTTCTTCTTCTTCTTCTTCTTCTTCTCTCTCTCTCTCTCATTTTCTGCAATTTATAAGTTTTTTGCTTCGGTTCTCCGCACGTAAAATCTTCATATCTCTGTTTCTTGTTCATTGAGTTTTGGCTTTTACAAGGGCTTTTGTTGGGGGGTATTGTTGCTTTTATTGATGTTTGTGTTTCTGTTATTGAAAAGGTTTTGGATCCGATAAACATACATTTTGAAGATTTTGCTGGCGTTTGGTTGTTTTGAAAAAGGTTTCGCATTTGAGCTCAATAACAGGTACGCACCGTCATTGATATCTTCTTATTAGGAGGAGCTTTTTGCAAAACAATGTTATTGAAATTCATGTTGGAATGTCGTATTCTCTTTATTGGTTCTGGGTTCAATCTCATTTTGAATGACTTTAATGGTTTTGGTTCTCTGGATTTGATTTTGCAACTAATCGTATATCCTGATTTTATTATTTTTTAATGAAATTTGGGGCTTAATACACATTCATAATTGAAATTGAAGCTTTTTATGGGATGGATTGGGATATCCCAACTGTTGATGGTGCTCTTAGCCGAAAGATTTGTATTATGCTGTGTTTGGATCATGGATTTGGACAGCTATTTAGAAAGGAAAATGGAAAGGCCCAAGTGAAATGTGAATGAAATATAATTATATTTCAGATTTATTCACCCACCTTTTTCCTTTCCTAAATTTCTATTCAAATCCGTGATCCAAACACAGCCCTAGAGAGTTTTTTTTGTCCCCTTTCCAATTAGTGAGCTTCATTTGGGATATTAGATTTCTGGTCTCAGTTCTTACCCTTTTTCCCCAACAGCAAGGCAGATACTGTTGACTTGATTCTGATTTGTCTGCCATTAGAGCTGTGTTTCAAGGAGGTGATGGTGATATGATATGTCATTGTTTTCATCTTTAATTTATCTTGGTCTTATTTTTAAGTGTTTATGATTTGTCATCTACCGTTTTTTTGGGTATAATTTTACAAGTAAGGGTCAGTTGTCTATAAAAGTCCTAATCACTCAGTGTTCTAATCAGAGACATAAATAAAGAGGGAAAGTTAAAAGATGTAATAATCTAGATATTTGTGATAATGGAAAAGGTGTTTCCTTCATCTAGGTATGTCGCTCATAATCTTTTGGTTTTAATCTCGATGCATCTGCACCAATTATTCAAGTGATTACAAGTTCTTTTTTAATTTTATTTTTCTTGTTTTTTTGTCTTAATTTTATACTATTTTGGGGGAAGATTTATGATCATTTTTGTGATTGATATGGTTGTGTGATTGCAATAGAAGTATGGCAACATATATGAAATTTACAGCTTTCTATTATTATTGTTACTTTTTTTGTAAATAATATTGTGTTGGCCCATATTATGTGGTTGCATATGCTGATGTTTGTTCTCCACTGTATGGGCTATGAAAACTTTTAATTAAATACGACTTCCAGTCGCAGAAAATTTCACTACCAAATTTCAGTTGTGCGGGCCGCTTCTTAATGACAACCACTGTTCCTCCCCGTATCCCCTGACCCACCCAACCACACACACGCGTACACGCACACGTAAAAAGTTTGTATGATAGGAAGCCAAAGTGATCCTCTGTTACTGCAAGTATTCTTTAACCTATCTAGTCTATAATCTACCAGAAGTGCTAGGGACCCCCAGCTGGGGCACCCCCAGCACCCCAGCTCAACCCCATTGGCCAGTTTCCTTTTTTTTTTTCTTTCCTTCCAATCACCCAGTGCCACGTGGCACTGGGGTCACTGGGGGTCGGTTTTGGTGGGGTCTGCCGCATTTTTCATAATCTACAAGTCTCTGTTAATTTTTTTTTATTAAATCACAATTATGTTGGGCAATCAATTTGGGTATTTCTTTCTGAAAGACACACTAATGCTGTGTTTGGTTGGGGGATTTAGGAAGGGATTTGGAAAGGGAAAGGGAAAAGGTGTGTGAAATTATGTGAAATGTAGGTATTTTTTTTCACATTTCACCTACCTTTTCCATTTCCCTTTCCAAATCCCTCATCAAATCCCTCAACCAAACACAGCATAAGTACAATGAATAAGTAGTAGATTTTGAAACCCATGATGCATGTCATAGTGATGTTTGTATATGGCTCATCATAGACCTTATTAGATGAAAATGCAAATGCATAATACAACTATAAGTTATTTGGGTCCTTGATTGAATTTCTTTCTCTCTGCATAACCTATCTAGTCTATAATCTACAAGTCTCTGTTAATTTTTTTTCATTAAATCACAATTATGTTGGGCAATCAATTTGGGTATTTCTTTCTGAAAGACACACTAAGTACAATGAATAAGTAGTAGATTTTGAAACCCATGATGCATGTCATAGTGATGTTTGTATATGGCTCATCATAGACCTTATTAGATGAAAATGCAAATGCATAATACAACTATAAGTTATTTGGGTCCTTGATTGAATTTCTTTCTCTCTGCATGCTTGGCTATTGGTTACTATTCATGATTAGCTTCCCATAAGAACTTTGGCAAAATCGTATTTTTGTAACTCAAGCACATATGTTCTCTATATTCTTTACCCTTGGATTCAAATTTTGGAAATTGTGAGGAGTAACTGGGGAAAAATCTCTTTGTCGACTTCCAGTCAAATATAAGACCACTAGATGAAGCTGTAGATGGTATTTTGATTCAATATTCAGGATTAACTGTTTTTATAATTATTGCTAATAGATGGAAAACCCTCCCTTTTCCATAAATTTAATTGATGCAAAGAGAACTACACGACAAAATGTAAGGAATGTGAGTGATCATGAAATGTGGAAACATTATTGTTTTTTTTTGTTTTGTTTGTTTGTGTGTTTTTGTTTTTGTTTTGTTTTTTATTTTTAAATTTCTCCATATCAGGGAAAAAAAATTTAAATAATTTGGGCCTGTGTAGTCATTAGGAATGGTCCTAATATTACCCACTAGTTGTGACAGTAGGGAAGGTTGATGTTTCCAAGTTTTTGTAGTTGTTTTATTGTGTTAATCTGTACATATTTTTGGTTCCTTCCACTGTCTTGGGTTATTTATCATCTGCTTGGGGTTCTGTTAAATGATTTGCGTGTGATAATACCAGTTTATGCTGTAGTTTTTTCTTAGACTGTGGCTCTGTTTGATAGCTATCCTGCTCTTTGAATCTTCGTTGACTCTTCGCGTTACACATTTCTATATCATTAGTTTTCAGGAGTTTTCCACTTGATGAACCGCTGTCCACCCAATACTGACAAGAAAGCTTTGAAGCGGTGGTTTTTCATTGACAAGAGGGTCAGACAAATTTTTTTTCTGAAATCAACTTCTTTGCATTTGCTTGGACCAAGTGTCAACCATCATATATTTGAGGTGATATCTTTCTCAACAAGCACGAAATTGATGGACATCAAATCAAATCACAACGCTCCTGTTCTCACTGGTACTGCACCAATGAACAAGTCAAGATTAGGCATTCATTCTAGTCTTTACTCACCTCCGGGTGTAGTTTTTTCTCCTGGACGCATCTTAACAATCCCAAGGAGGAAACCTGTTAAACTTGATGATGTGTGGTCCAGCTCTTGGCTGGATGCGATGAAATCCTCATCTCCTACCCACAGGAAGAAAGCTAAAAATTCTGGCAATGAGATGGCATCAACTGATACTGATGTTGCTTATCACAATTGGATGGTAAATTTTTCTCCCTTTATTTGGTTAAAATTCAGGCGTTTGTTTAGATGGAATATTAGATTATTTATTTGAGCTTCTTTAATTTTCCTGCAGCTTAAGTATCCCTCAGCACTTGCGTCTTTTGAGCAAATAATAAATAATGCAAAGGGCAAGAGAATAGCATTGTTTCTGGATTATGATGGGACGCTTTCCCCTATTGTAGACAACCCAGACTGTGCCGTCATGTCTAATGCTGTGAGAATCTACTCTTTTAACTTTGTTTAAATTGTCGAAAAGCATATATATATATATAATTGGGGTAATTACATTTTACCTCCTTGTGGTTTAGCTCGGAAACACATTTACCCCCATATGGTTTAGAAATATACACTTAAAACTTCCATCTGGTTTGGAGTAAGGTGCAAAAAAGTCTTACATTACCTTCAATTTTTTTCAATTTTCTTCTATATGCCATCCCAGCCTAAGAACTGCACTTTTATTTTCCTTTCACTTTCTTTTTCTCTCTCATTTTCTCCTTTCTTCTTCCCTTACCTCATGTCCAGCACCTATTCTATAGCTAATAAAATCAGCCCCCAAAAAAGTGTCGATGTCTGACACACCCATCCACCCACTGCCTCCATGTCGCAGAACCATATATGTATAGACATTCTATAAGGATGTAATGCGTTTTCAGGCTAAATCACAGGGGTAACTTTGTAATTAACCATATATATTTTAGTAAAAGCTCCCTTCTGTTCCTCCGTCAAATCATTATCGTTGCTTTGTAACTTGCTCAGATGCGTGCTGCTGTGAAGAATGTGGCACAATATATCCCAACAGCAATCGTCAGTGGAAGAAGCCGTGACAAGGTACGGTCCTTTGTTTTAATACTATTGTCTTGGTATCATTATGACCACTATCTTCAGATATACTTCTTGATTATCTTGATTTGGATTGAGACTCACTTCCTACTGCATTCAGGTGTATGAGTTTGTAGGACTGAAAGAACTCTACTATGCCGGTAGTCATGGGATGGACATTATGGGCCCTGTCCGGCAAGGGTCTAATGATCATCCAAACTGTATTAGGTCCACTGACAAGCAGGTAATTAACCTAGACACTATCTTTCTTGCTCACATACATCCACCTCCAATTCCCTCTGCATTTTGGAGCAATTAGATTAGAACTTTTTCTTGAATTGCTTCTTTGATGTAGTTTCATAATTTTGTTTCTTGTGAATGTAGGGTAAGGAGGTGAACTTGTTCCAACCTGCTAGTGAATTCTTACCTATGATCGATAAGGTGGGCCAATATGTTTGTTTTAGTACTAGTCTATGATACTTTGTGCTGACTTTGTAAGTTTTAATTTCTTTTTATAATAGAAAACATTCTGATTTGTTCATGCTTGATCAGATTTATAGGTCCCTTGTTGAGACTACTAAGTCAATTGAAGGAGCAAAAGTAGAGAACAATAAGTTTTGTGTCTCTGTACATTACCGTAATGTGGATGAGAAGGTAGGGGTTGTTCTAAGCACCATAAGCTGAATTAGCTATTTCAGTAGCACTTTTGTTTCACCAGTTATAGATCTTTTATTTATGTGGTTTCTTGAATTTTTTCAGCATTGGAAAACAATTGCACAATATGTCCAGGAAACACTAAAGGACTATCCTCGTCTACGATTGACACATGGGCGGAAGGTTCGCGGATCAATCCAATTTAAAAGTTTATTGCTTGTCTCATTTTGTTTCCCCAATCCCGCTAATTTTTACCCTTTTTTCTGTGTTTCAGGTTTTAGAGGTCCGGCCTGTGCTTGATTGGGATAAGGGTAAAGCTGTCGAGTTCTTACTTGAATCCCTGGGTGAGTAAATTTCTGGCCTTCGCTATTAAACAGTTTGTCTTTGTTGGTTGTGAAAATTAATTTTGTTTTCTTGTAACAATTGAATGACGAATTAAATTGATGTAGGCTTAAGTAATTCTGATGATGTGCTCCCAATTTATGTTGGAGATGACCGGACTGATGAAGATGCATTTAAGGTAATACTTGATTAACCGCAAATAATATAATCAGTTTGGTTGTCTGAAAATATAATTTTTCATTTTCTTTTAGAGCATGTAACAAACCAGGATAATTGACTATTTAACAGGTTTTGAGAGATGGAAATTGTGGTTTTGGCATCTTGGTGTCTTCTGTGCCTAAAGAAAGCAAAGCATTTTACTCTCTCAGGGACCCATCAGAGGTACAAGTTATTTTCTGTTACTAATGGCCACCGCGTTCGGACTTAAAAACACAGGATTGATAATCTTTTGAAAGGAACTAATCAACTCCCAAATCTGAGAAAACTATCTTCTTTAATTTAAAGAATAATTTCCTAATAAAAAAAAAAAAAAAACACACATGTATGTTTCTTTCATAAAAAGAAAAATATTTCAATTATTATAGGATGTTGACATGGTACTAATATTGGTTCATATTTCATGAAGCAGCATAGTAACTCCATTGTAGTCAATATAATTAATCGATTTGGTTTTTTTGTTTTTGTGGCAAAATTGATGTCGTTTCATGCGTGCAAACATAACTGAATCACAGTAAATCACAGTGAATAGTAACAAGTCGCAATTGAATAATATGATTCACCTAATTTAAGATTCAACAGCATGAATCGAATCGTTTTGGTTACTGCCTTTTTTGGCAATGTTTTTTTCTCATTTGCGAATTGAGACCCAAAAGTGTGCCTTTATGCTTGTCTGTTCTATTTTTCCTTGGTTCTGATTCGAGTCTATGGAGAATTTATTTTATTGTCTTGATATTTATGCAGGTCATGGTGTTCCTCAAATCACTGGTAGTAGCGAAGAAATCAAGTTCACTATAAATATGATATACCGAGAAGAGCATACTCTAATTTAACAAACACCAACATTTTAAAAAAAGATACATATACATATATATATTCTGAGATTTACAAAATCAAAATGGTTTCACAATGAAGAGCTTCATTTTTTTATTTCTTTTAATTCTCTGTAAATTCTTTTTCCTAATATTTCCTAATATCTCTCAGTATTGGCTCCAAAGTATATTAGTCATTTATTTTTCTTTTTCTTGTCCCTAGTTTTGGCTGCTGAATCTCCATATGGGTTATACGTGGAAATGTATTCATTTGTTAATTTTTTTTATTATGTAAATGCAAATTTCTATATATATTTATACAGAATTTTATACAGTTCCTTTGTTGTGTGTTGTGGCCCTTTGTTTATGCTATGTGAAGTTCCTCCTAGCTAAGTTCCATGGCAGCATTGGATTTATAGTGTAATATTTTAGAAACGTGTAATTTTTTACAAGTTAAAAAATAATAATGAAAAAAAATGATGCTTAGACTGACTGAATTGTAAAAAATGATAAATGTAGCACTTAAACACGTATTTTGGTTTTGACTATTCTCTCCTGACGAATTTTAATAAAAAGATTATGAAGTTGAAAACAATCATCTTTTAACCTTTTAATAAAGAATTTATTACTTAAATTATTTTTACCTTATAGGTAGTAAACAAAAATTGTACAAATCATTTTAATATACATTTTTTAATTAAAAAACTATAAACAAATCTAATAAATTGTACAAAATAGGACTGTGTATGCTCGACCTCTTTTGAAATACAAGAAACATTACAGTATATATCTATCTTCGAGATGTGATACTAAGGTCTCGCTTAGCAACATGAATTTGGTTGAAAAAGCTACAAAATTTTTAAAAAATAGAAAAATTATTAAAAAATAAAAATAAAACAAATCATACAAAATAGTCATTTATTTATTTATTTATTATTATTATTATTATTATTATTTTATACAATCTTAAAGAGAGATTTTCATGTTCTATTGGTAAAATGGATAGTGGGCTATATAATTCTACAATCTATTATTCATGGATCTGATTAAAGATATTCACATCAATAGTGAATTAATTATTGCTGACTTGTATTCAATCACAAGTCCAAAATCTAGAAAGAAAAAGAAAAGAAAATCAAAGAAAAGAATGATTGAAACAATGCCATTTCTTAGTATTATCCTATTAGCCAAAATGGTTTGCTCCTCCATGATTGTCTCAAAAGTATCTTGAATATTCATCAAATGCGACATAATCATTTGCTCCTCCAATATTGTCTTCGTACACACAAATTTCAGGTTATGTAATAAACAATAGATAAAAGATGTACAAAATTCAATTTTAATAAATGGAGACAATTCTTCATTCAATCTCCTCTTGGAGTCCGGATCAAAGGATTTTTTACGTTTGGTTTTAAACTTGATGGACATCACCCACATGATTTAGGAAAGTCCAACCCATAACTGTCTTGGGTGGTCCAAATGGTCATTTAGTTATAGCCCAGTAAGAGAAGCTCAACGGCAGGCCCACTGAAGAGCTCGCACTGGTCCAGGCTCTATGGCATTTAGACACTTGTTAGATAGGAAGTTAGTCACGTAGCAGACAAAGATCTTACAGAGTTATTAAGCCTAAGCATCAAGTATTAAATAAGGCTATTATGACATTAAATGCAATAAGACCTCTTGTTCCCTGATATGGTGAAACTACTATGACCGATAGTGGGTAGACCATAGACTTTCGGCTAATCAGACAGTTTGAATGGACAAGGAAATTATTAATAAAAGATATAAGGAAGCTTGTGAAGAACGTTAAAAACAACAAGTAATACTCTCTTCTATTCTTCTTCTTTTTCTCTCTCTTGACTCTCAATTTTCTCTACTCATTCTTCTTCTGATCACTTCCTATCTAACTTAACCGTCGGAGAGTCCACGGGAAGGAACCACTCCAGTGTCGGTACCTTCTCATTGGACCTTTTTGCAGGGAAGCTCCAAGAAGACGAAAGCCAACAGACCCGTAGAGCGCGTGGATTAGTCTGATCCATACCCAACTGACTATATTGCATCATCAGTTGGCGGCGTCTGTGGAAAGCCTCTGGTTGACAGTTGTGTTCATTGTCATTGGAAGAAGTTCCACCATCACCCATCTTCTATGTCAGAGTGGATGGATGGTTACGATGAGATCCATGGCATCACAACACAATGCTGGTAACCCTCAAGTTGAGTCCTCCAACCCAAACAACCCACCTCCGTATTTTGCAGAACTCACAGACAGCATCAACTGACTAGCCGAGCAAAACCAAGCCCTGATTAATGCTTTGCTCTAGCGTAACTTACCTATCCCTCCTCTACCACTACAAGAAATTCCCCCAAACTTGGAACAAGCCCATGATTAATGCTTTTCTCTAGCACGACTTACCTATCCCTCCTCCTCTACCACCACAAGAAATTCCCCCAAACCGGGAACAAGCCCACAATCATCACCCTTTCCACCTAAATGTGCCCTAAGGGTCGTTCCCGCCCTTTGCCCCATAAGCTCAATCGTTGAATTTTGAAGGTCTGCACGCCCTTCCTTCGGGCTAACAGTTTCACCAAGAGGAACCTCCATTCTTTCACAATCACCCTCCACAACACTATGCTGCTATCCATGAGGGAGAAGCTAGTAGCGTTCAACCTTCGCCTTACGCTAGAGGAGACAATACTCCCCGTTTGGGACGAAGAACTACGAGCCATGAAGCTTCAGCTCCAAGGGGTCATGAAAAACATGCAGAGCAAACCTTCTTCCATTGTCAACTCCTTCTTTACCGTTTCTATCAGGGACAAACCTTTGCCCTCTAAGTTCAAAATGCCGTCGATTGACACATTTGACGGTACAACCAATCCGATCGACCACGTGGAGGGGTATAGGACACTCATGATCCTCTATACCTTTCCAGACGAAATCATGTATCGCGCTTTCCCCGTCACATTGAAGGGGTCGGCGCGACTTTGGTTTAGTCAGCTTTAACCAGACTCTGTCACTTCCTTTCACCAGCTCAGCGAATCCTTTTTAAGCCATTTCATTGGTGCTCAACGGCATCGATATTCGGCGACTCAGTTGATAAATATTCGACAGACGAAAGGGGAATCGCTGTGCAGCTTTGTCACCCGTTTCAATACAGAGGCCCTACAGGTTGAAGAGAATGACGACAAGGTCATTTTGACATCCTTCATGGCCGGTTTGCGTCCATCGGATTTCCTCTTTTCCCTTTTTAAAAATCGTCCGACCACCATGGCCGTCCTCCCCGCCAAAGTCCAAAAATACATGAACGCCAAAGACTCTTTAGCAGCTCGCCAAGATTCCACATCTAAGCCCCCAAAATCCAAAAAAAAAAAAGAAAAAAAGAGAAAGAAATTCGAGCCCAAGCATACACAATACACTCACTGACCTCCTTAATATATTGACCGACCTCCACGTTCCAATCGATCGGCTCCTACCCGTCCACCTGGTTGGTTCGAACAATACACCCCTCTCAACTCACTCATGGAACAAGTGCTAAACCAAATTCAACATGACTACAACCTCAAATGGCTTTCACCAGCTCAGCGAATCCTTTTTAAGCCATTTCATTGGTGCTCAACGGCATCGACATTCGGCGACTTAGTTGGTAAATATTTGACAGACAGAAGGGGAGTCGTTGTGCAGCTTTGTCACCCGTTTCAATACAGAGGCCCTACAGGTTGAAGAGAACGACGACAACGTCATTTTGACATCTTTCATGGCCGGTTTGCGTCCATCGGATTTCCTTTTTTCCCTTTTCAAAAATCCTCCGACCACCATGGCCGTCCTCCCTGCCAAAGTCCAAAAATACATGAATGCCAAAGACTCTTTAGCAGCTCGCCAAGATTCCATATCTAAGCCTCCAAAATCCAAAAAAAAAAAAAAGAAAAAAAGAGAGAAATTCGAGGCCAGGCATACACAATACACTCACCGACCTCCTTAATATATTGACTGACCTCCACGTTCCAATCGATTGGCTCTTACCCGTCCACCTGGTTGGTTCGAACGATACACCCCTCTCAACTCACTCATGGAACAAGTGCTAAACCAAATTCAACATGACTACAACCTCAAATGGACCCAACCGTTAAGATCTCCTTCTGTCTGATGAGACCAATCCAAGTACTGTAGTTTCCATCGTGACCACAACCATAACATCTAAGAGTGCGTCAATCTTAAGGACCAGGTTGAGGAACTAATTTGTCAGGGGTGCCTAAACTAATTCACCATAGCCCGTTCCCACCAAAGAGCTAGGGCTGACCTCCCAAGGCTAAATGATAAGTACACTCCCCCTAGGTAACCCAAACAACCTAGGTGGAATGATGACAGGACCCAACAACAACCCCGAGCCCAAGGAGGACCCGTACCCCTATTGGGAGAAATCAGGGTCATTGTGGGTAGACTCGCATGTGGCGGACTATCTCGGTCAGCACAACGAGTCGAGCTTAGAAAGATCAGGCAAGATTCGGATAAAGAAGTGGCGATGGTTGACCAGCCCCACAAGCAACTTAAACAATGATTGGAGCCGATCATCTTCATAGATGTGGACTGCGCAGGAATCCGTTACCCTCATGACGACCCTCTGGTCATTTCTACTTTCTTATCAATCTACAAAGTCAGGCATGTACTTGTCGATAATGGTAGTTCATCATATTATCTTCCTTAATACCTTTAGACAACTCAAGGTCGGGGAAGAAAAGTTGTTGCCCCTACAAACCCCTTTGGTCGGCTTCACTAGGGATCGGGTGACTTCCACAGGCTCCATTGACTTTTCAATCATCACTGGAGAGCATCTACGGTAGGCCACCAAACTTCTCACTTTTCTCATTGTTGACTGTTATTCCGCCTACAATATTATACTTGGGCGCATAGCTCTCAACGCCCTCCAAGCCGTGACGTCCACATATCATTTGGCCATGAAGTTCCTAACTGACCAAGGGGTCGGCACTGTGAGAGGTGAGTAGATGGTAGCTAGAGAATGTTACGTAGTCTCATTAAAAGAAGTTAAAATAAGGGAGGCTATGATCATTGAGGGCCTTGATGTTAGAGACCAAGAAGAGCTAATTCGGAGAGAGCTAGTGGAGGAGTTAGTTGAAGTACCCATTTCCCCCTCGAACCCAATGAAGACAGCTAAAATTGGTAGCCAGCTAAGCTCGTAAGCCAAAGTTAACCTTATAGCTCTCCTCACTGAACACAAAGATGTCTTCGCCTAGACCCATGCAGACATGTCAAACATCAACTCCTCTACCATCACTTACCCTCTTAGTGTTGAGCCCCAATTCCGATCGATCCGCCAAAAG